AAATCCTAGATTCCCCTTTTACTGATTTAAACGTAGATGTAGGGCGTGAGTATAAACTAGTCCAACACTATGATAGCCTTACATACTTGAATAAAACAAGGTTCTTGAAGAATCTTGAAGAAGAACTTGATTAGAAGCCTTGAAACCCTAGCTTGAAGGTAAACAATCAAGAAGACCTTTCTTGAGATTCTCGAGTTAGTTTCTTAAAATCTCTATAGCCAAAAATTATGATTTTCATGAGTGAAGATGAAAATCTGATTGTTTTGAGCTTTTTATTAGTTCAAGAAATTCGTTGATGGTTTTCTTGGAGGTAAAAAGACAAAAACGATTATTTTCAATATTTTCCCGTCGGCTAATTCGTAACAGCACTGTATAGGTTACTAAAATAGTCATAACTTTTTACTCAGATATTGGATTGACATGAAACTAGTGGGGTTAGAAAGTAGATTCAATTACCTTTAATTGGATAGGTTATGACTCACGTAACTCTTAATATTCTAAGAGATACGGTCGTTTAAAGTTGACCTAAGCAAAATTTTACTTCAAAACTTAATGAAACTTCAAGAACACTTATCAAGAACTCATCAAGAACTCTAATCTTTAAATTTCATGAACGAAATTACGCTAAATAAATCATGATTGGTGTGTGGGTGAAAGAACCCAACACTATGGAAGCTTACATACCTTAATGGATTGAATCCTCGGCGAAATTCCCAAGCAATTCCTTACGACGACGAAGAATCTAGCTTTTTCCTCCTTTTCTCTTTTCTTGCGTTCCTCCTCCAAAACCCTAGCTCTATTTGGTAAATGTCTAAATTGATCTAATTCAGTTTAGACCCCTTATTAATTACCAAAAACGATTTAAAATAAGGGTAAGGAAAAGACCAAACTACCCTTTAAAATCCGGATTGGACATTTCCTTAATCCAACAGCCCAATTTCCAAAGGGCATATCTTACTCCTACGAAATCGGAATCGCGCAAACTTGGCGGCGTTGGAAAGATAGTTCCAAGAACTTTCCAACCATATCTATAATTACTCCTAACTCATCCTGAGCTAGGAGTTATGATCATTTGAAAATGACAAAAACTCAACTTTTCTTGCTTACAATTTTCCAGATTTCCCTTGAACGTTCCAAAAACGAAAATTTCCAGATTTAAACTACATTCTAATTATTTCTAGATGCGGGATGTTACAGATTTCACTAATTATCACATGACTTTTGTTTTATCGTGTACCAAATTCACTAAATTATTTTTCCATGGTAATTATATTTTCTTCATACGTTCACACCGACAAGTAAAAGTGAAAATGTATTTTTGAAACACTGGACAAATAAAAATGAATAGAGTGAGAGTAATTATTTTACATAGATTAATTAATGAGGATGAGTTATCAAGCAAGCTTAATTACCTCAACTTTTGCATAGTAGGCCCGGTCTGCTTTACCTTCTTTTTTCAATTCATCTTCTATTTCATTTATAATTTGCTATTTCATACAATTTTTCCTAATAATATACCACAGAATTTAACATGGGCCGGGTTCAAACTCTTATTATAATAATGTTTTTTTAATGCGTCATAATTCAATATCAACATTAATTTAGGAGATTTATGAAATTATTTTATCGCGGAATTGAATCCACTATGACCATAGTTTGTATTATCGATCATAGAAATTATCACAAAACAAATTAATCCTTTGATTTCTCCATACACTCATATTGTGTGTATATTTACTTTTATATGTATACCATAAATATAAATAAGAGGACGCTAGTTAATATATGCTAACGAGCTAATTAACAGTAGTACTCTTATGAATAAATCCGACTCAATAATAATTTTCGAGTTTAGTGGTTGGTTGGTTGGTGAGCATAATTAATTAATACATTTTTTTGTGATAAGCAGAACTAACAAACAAGACGTTTTGTCAACACAATTGGTAAGTGTCTGTTTGACATTTTCCACAAGCATTTATTCGTCGGCATTAATAAAACTGTATGTATGTGGCTATTAGAGCCTGTTATCTTTTCATATATATATATATATATACTAGATAATGTTGCCCGTGCTATGCACGGGACCAATAATATAAATGGTGTGTTTTGGGGCTAATAATCGAGTTTTTGAAGCAATTGTTTGCGTGGATAAAGGAATAAATTTTTTTATCACAAACCTGTACTTTCTTTGACGCTATTTAAGGCATAATAAGACAACCCACATACAACATTTTTGAAATATTTTATGTTGTCAATTATCATGATTTATAGTATTTTTACGATAGATTCACTTCAAGAATCAGTGGAATTTTTTGTATTTTTTTTCAAAACATATTTTATATTGTCAATTATCATGATTTATAGTATTTTTACGATAGATTCACTTCAAGAATCAGTGGAATTTTTTGTATTTTTTTTCAAAACATATTTTATATTGTCAATTATCATGATTTATAGTATTTTTACGATAGATTCACTTCAAGAATCAGTGGAATTTTTTGTATTTTTTTTCAAAACATATTTTATATTGTCAATTATCATGATTTATAGTATTTTTACGATAGATTCACTTCAAGAATCAGTGGAATTTTTTGTATTTTTTTTCAAAACATATTTTATATTGTCAATTATCATGATTTATAGTATTTTTACGATAGATTCACTTCAAGAATCAGTGGAATTTTTTGTATTTTTTTTCAAAACATATTTTATATTGTCAATTATCATGATTTATAGTATTTTTACGCAATTTTTAAATATAAAAAAAAATAAGACAAATAAATTAAAATGGACCCAATATATGTTATTTTTGTTGTGAAATTTGGAGAGTCGTCCAAATTTTCATATATTTTTTAAAAATGTTTTAAGTTATTAATTATTGTGATTTATAATATTTTTATGTAACTTTTAAATAACGTACATTACTGGTCACTTTGTCCTAATTTATGTGATATGGATAAAATTACAAAATTAACCCTTTTAAAATGTCTTTCAGATATTTTAAGTTGTTAATTATTATTATTTATAATACTTTTTTGGTAATTTTAAAATGATATGTGTTATTTTTTCTGTCCCAATATATGTGAGCCTGATAGAATTCTGAGAGTCAACGTATTTTATTATATAGCTTTTTAAAATATTTTAAAATTGGTAATTATTGTAATTTTTAATGCTTTTTAAGTCATTTGTAAATGATATATGTGCCAGATCAGTCGATTTTTTTATATGTTTTCTTAAAAATATATTTGAAGTTATTAAATTGTTGTGATTTATAGTATTTTTGCGTTAGTTTTGAATAATATAGGTTACTCATATTTCAATTCACGTGAATAATAATAAATATTTTCAGTTGTTAATTTATTGTGAATTCTAGAAATTTTGACGTTATTTTCAAATAGTACATGTTACTTATTCTATTCCAATTAGTCAACCAAATTCCATATATGATTTAAAAATATTTTTAATTGCTAATTATTGTGATTTATAGCATCTTTTATGTAACTTTTAATAATATATAATTTGTTCAAATTCATATGACAATGATAAGATTTCAAGAGTCAACGCAATAAAAATTTAAATTTTTTAAAAAGTTGTACCTCTAATATATTTTGTAGCTAAAATATACTCTCTCCGTCCACTTGTATTTGTCATGTTGCGCTTTTTGAAAGTCCATTTGACTAATTTTCAAAGTTAAATCAGATTGTATTAATGTATTTTTAGAAAAAAATTTAAATATGCAAAATCTATACAAAAAGTACTATAAATCGTAATTTTTTGCCTATGATTATGATGAAAAAACACATTGTAAAATATTAGTTAAAATTCTTATAGTTTGACTCTAAAAAGGAAATCATAACAATTAAAAGTGCATAGAGAGAGTAATAAATAGGTAATTAAATTTCAAGAAGTTTAAAATAAAAGGTTGAAAAAAAGAATTAGATAGACAACATTTATTGAAAATTGAAAACATATAAATAATAAATGGGCCCAAATGAGGTCAAACTTTTTGGCTTAAATTGTCCAATAATATAAATTTTAAAGGTACAACCATAAAAGAAGAATGTACAACACTAGCAAGCACATATCATCCAACATTTGTCATGTGCTAAGTAGTAGTTATCCCCACTTATTATATATAATAATATATATACATAATTTTATGTTAAAAATATGTTTGATACGATAAAAAAATATTATTTCAAAAATATTTATAATATAATCAGACAAACACTCTGAGGTTGGAAGAGGGATGGATGAAGGCGAGGGGGATGGGGGGGGGGGGTGTTGAGAGCCTGTCGGAGCATGGGTTTCGAGAGGAGGTGTGGTGCATGGTAGGATAGGGACGTAGAGACGAGGGTGAACTAGAGAGACAATCAAGTTAGAATAACACTAATGTAAAATTTATTTTTTCCATCATGTATACCATTTTTAGAGAATACAAGTCACTTACTTTTTTTTAATAAAATATTTTTAGAAAATTTTGACAATGAAGAAACACAAAAGAGTCACATGACTATGTTTATTTCAATGCAATATATTATATTCATTTTTGTATGATATAAATCCAATAAAACATCAACATTTAATATACCATTTCCCCACAAGAGCCGTCGACTACTTTGCTAACAAAAAGATTTTGGTGATCTTATAATGTGTCCAAAATGGATAATGAACCCACATAAATTCGTATAGGGGTGTGCAAAAATCGATTTAACCAATAAACTGAACCAAAAAAAACACTATTGGTTTATTGATATTGGGTTATTGGGCTAACGGTTTTTAAACGGTTTTGCAAAAAATTTTATTGGGTTATTGGTTCGGTTTCCGGTTTGATAATTTTTGTTAATGGTTAAACCGATAACCCAATAAGACTATACTAAATTTATTAGTCTTATTGTTAATGGTTAAACGATTGTTACTTTCACACTTTTTCCTTTGAATGTGTCTAGTGTCTAAACTTGCAAGAAAAATGATTGTTACTTTTATGATTATTACTTTCATGCCAAATGCTGGAAAAATCATATGGTTTATTTGAAAATTTTCTTATCGTGTATATAATATATATGAGTATTTTCTTATTGGTTAAACCGAAAACCGAACCGTTAAGTACCATAAACCGATTAACCAAAAACCGATAAGAAATATGTTATTGGTTTGGTTATCAGTTTGAAGTATTTACAAACCGAAAACCGATAAACCGAACCAATAACACCTAAAACCGAACCGAACCGAACCGACCGATGCTTGGTTATCGGTTTGAAGTATTTACAAACCGAAAACCGATAAATCGAACCAATAACACCTAAACCGAACCGAACTGATCGATGCGCACCACTAAATACGTACGGTTGAGAAATATAATGTTTTGTAGTTTTGAAGGTCTGATTGGATTTAATCATTGAAATTTATTGAGATTTTGATATTAATAGGTTGAACGTCAAATTTAATTTCGTGTTCATCTATCAGAAACTTTCGGATAATATATTCTAAAATTAAAACATAATTTATATTAAAATCACAATAATCTGTCCGATAAATTTGTAGCGAGACAAGTCTTTATCTATCGATCCAAATTTAAAGATATCAAATTAGACTTTTTATGTAGATAAATATGTATCAGTTTGTTACATGTACGTTTAACTTAAATATAATGCAACAAATTATATATAGTACTTGTCATGTGTATGAACTCAAATGTGAAATCTTCACTAAATTTCTTCAGCTGCCGACTGAATATTGGTCCACACATTAATTCCATAAATGCATGTTCCCGCTCTAGGGGCGGATCTAGAGTATCGAGCGTGAATTTTCAGAAACGTAATAATTTTTACATAAATCTTCTATTTATATTAAAAAATCTATTAATTATATATAAAATATTTGTTGAAAATCTAATAACAAAATAAGTTCTTAGTTCAATGGTAGAAACGAAACCTACTTAAGTTTTCAGTGAGGGTTTAATACTTTAATTCCTCTTGGGTACTTATATTAAAGTCCTCTTTTAAAATAAAAAATAAAAAATTGAGATCGTTAAAAGCCCATAAACTTTAAATTCTGAATTTGCTTCTGTCCGCTACATCCAAATAATACTCTCTTCAATCATTTTATCCATTCAAATCTTTCTATAAATAGAACCCAACAATCTCTCAATTTCATCATCCTTTAATTAATTCAAATATCATAAGGGAAACAAAAAAATGGGTTCCAAGGCATTTCTGATTCTTGGCCTTTTTTTGGCCATATTTGTAATGATAAGTTCTGAGGTTTTAGCTAGGGAGTTGGCTGAGACTTCCACCACTACTTCTGAAGAGGATTGTAAGTCTATCCATTCAGTATAATATATTTTTATAATTTATTTCGAAAATATTGAGTTCAGATGAATATTTCTACTTGTGCTCTAGATGCTAGCTTGACCAATTATTCTTACTAATTGTTCAATTTATATAATTAGTTTTACATTTTGCATGTATATTACGATAACAATAATAACATATTCAGTGTAATGTCATAAAGGATATGGGAAGGTGGTATGTACACAACTATACTCTTATCATGTGAAGATAGAAAAGTTGTTTAATTCGATCCATTCTCGACTCAAGTAAAACATAAGGTAGTCCATGCTGAACCTAATGAAATTTTGCATATATATTACTATATAGTATATTTTAACCTTCTGAACTTTGACGAGAAATCTCCATATAAGTTATGGATTACAGAACTTTATAATGCAGAGTTGGTATTAAACAAAAATGTTCCCTCCGTTTTAATTTATTTGTTTGGTTTTGACGTATGCAGATTTTAAAAAAAAGTAACGAGAATTTTTGAATCTTATGATTTAGAATTTTTGAATCTTCTGATATTAAACATACCACGTGGAAAAGCTAAAATAAGGAGTTGCCAAAGAAGGAAAGTCTCATTTTTTTTTAGGCATAAAAAATAGTAAGAAAAATAAATCGGAAATAATATTTTTTGAAAAAAAAAAACCAAGTTAAGAATAACATTCTTGTTTACGTAATTGATGCAGCCAAGAAATCCAGTAACAAAAATGAAGTACATGAAGCCGAATATGGCGGGTACCCTGGTGGTGGCGGTGGCGGTGGATACCCTGGCGGCGGCCGTGGTGGTGGTGGTGGTGGATACCCTGGCGGTGGTGGTGGCAGCCGTGGTGGTGGTGGTTGTGGATCCCCTGGCGGTGGCCATGGTGGTGGTGGTGGCGGCCGTGGTGGTGGTGGATACCCTGGCGGTGGTGGTGGCGGTGGTGGAGGCCATGGTGGTGGTAGATACTCAGGCGGTGGTGGACGTGGTGGTGGCGGCGGCCACGGTGGACGTGGTGGTGGCGGCAGGAAGTGTTGTTCCTAGATACAAAGGTGAATGAATAGTAATATATAAGTATCACCTTGTACTAATTAGTGGCAAGATGTAGTAGTAATATTCTTGCTGCTTTAAATTTGGAGCTTATTGTAAGAATTATTATCAAGAAATAAAAGCCATCATGTAATGTTTGTTAATTATGCTATGGTATGATAATACTTTCCTTTGGCTGGGTTTGAGAGAGAGAGCGTGAGATAGTTGGTCTAATAACTAGTCCAACTTCCTTGTATCTGAAAGCGATGACAGGATGTTAGGTCTAGTAAGGAGACTTTTTGGATAATTTACTTCCACGAATAGATTGTTAGGCTAAGAAGAATAGGTTGGGATTGATCCCACCTTTGAAAGAGTGGTTTTGCTCTGTCAATACGGTGTTTTACTTTTGGGCGGAATTCTCACTTTATATAATTATTTAAATTTATAATTTCATATTATTATAATTTGTTCGACTAACCGTTCACTATTATTATCAATATCAAGTATCAATATACACCAATAGTGTAAATTTGCTTATATTTTTCTCTTCGATTTCCATGGAACTCATCACATTTATTATGAAACATACGTATAATATCCAAAACTATGTAAATTCAGATTAGGCAAAATTGAGGGCATTTATTATTCCACGATTTTATGAAATGTTTTGAATTATTGATTATTGTAGCTCTTTTTTGAAAAACTAATTATAGTAGTATGACTTATAATACTTGGTATTTGGGTCAAAACATGTGATTTTAAAAAAAAAATTGAAAAAATCAATATTTGTCTGAATTCACAAAAAAAATTCGAGGCACCAATTCCATGGCACTAATGTCACATCTGCATGAAATTATACAAAAAATAAATAGTTTGATTCTTACACGTGATCAAATTACCGCCACATAAAATGTAACGAAGGGAATAACATTGTTATACTTTACCTCTCTATTGCATTTGTGAAAAGCTCAAGTTCATCAAATGTTGCATAAGCATCAAATGTATCATCAACAATGCTAATGATGGCAATTATTTTTCCTGTCATTATTCTTGCACGACTCTGTTGAGGCTCAAAATGCAATCCAACTGCTCCAAAATAACACTCCACCAATCTGTCTCTTGCATATGAAAATTTATTTGCAACATCGATATTTTTCCACCATCTATAGTATAAAATATCAAATATATATTAATTAGGGATTAGTTACGTAAGAACCATAATTATGAGATTGAAGAGGGTATAAGAGTACTAATCTTTACCTTGTAAGTTCGCTAAGCTCTCTTTGGTACACCTTTTGCAAAATATTGAAATCCAATTTCGCAAATTTCAAAAGTAAATTGTTACGTGATTCATCGTTCTCATACATATATATGTTTTTCCTTGCTAACAATCTTGGTAGATTTGTATGAATGGGCTGGTTTAAGGCTTCACTAACTTGGGCCTTGACTGAGTTGCCCAATTTAGGGGCCATGGACTCCAGATGAGTGACGGTAAAAGTTAGAGCTTCTTCAAGAATTTCCTCTCCGTGTACTCTTAGATGTGTTGCTTCGTATAGACTTAATAATCCTTGCACATCTTTAGTAAGAGTTTCCTTGAATATTCCGTCATGATTGGTGAATTTTTTGAAGACATCTGATTTCACATCATAATATAATTATATCAAAGAAATTAATAAAGAGCCACACAAAATAGGAATAAATTAGTTACCAGAAGACATGTAATGTCTTTGTTGTCTCACTAGTCGAAATTGAAGAGCAACAACGTATAGATCGTCATCATTTTTTAGACTCTTCAAAAATGTTCTGAATGGATGTTTCGATGTCATTTTTGAAATGATATGCCACTCCCAATCGTTGGATTGTGTCAATCAAAACAAGTTTTTGTGTACTATTATTAGGTGACTCAACTAACATTTGCCTTACTTTTTCTTTCAACTCTTCATGTTCATGTTTTTCTTTGCTACTAATTTCCTGCACCAAATGTTAAGTGTTATTATTTGACATAGAGTAATACCTCCATTATATAATTTAATCATAGGGATTAGGGAAAATAATTATTGCCTGTTTATGCAACATTTGATTGACTGTATAAGAAAAGGTTTGTAAATGGATACACTACCAATATAATTGCCCTATTAATTAGGTCAATTTAGCTAGGCGTTTGGACATGAATTATATTAATGTTATTTGAGAAATAATAATTAGTATTTGAAGATGAAGTTTGTTGACACCCAATTTTGACCTTCCCCGATAAGAAT